AAGGAATTGTGAAATGCCCCATGTGAAATAATCCCGCGTGAGCCGCGTCTCGTCCGCTCCGCACAACAGGGCCGACGCACGCTGACACTGTCATTTCGCCTGACTCAACCATCGTCCGCAGTCCTGAATCGTTGCCGGAGTTCGACGATGTCTTTCGGAGTAGGCTTAGGACTTGTGTGCTTGCGAAAGCTGGTACATTCTGCATTGCCCGAACAGAAGTTCAAAGTCAGAGAGTCGTCTAGTAGCCAGCCATGCCTGAAAGGTGTAATGGCGACGAAGCATGAGGTTTCCTGAGTTGAGGTAGACTTTTCCATTTGACCAAAACAATTGTTAGCTGAGGATACGGACCCCTCAAAGTGCCTCTGGGCAGAAGACGGTAATGAAGAATACTTCGACCTGCAGCCAGAACTCCTTGACTCTCCCGCAGAGACCTCACTCATCCCGATGCTACAATCGATTTAGGCGCCTCAGTCTGTATTGTTATGCTCAGAGTCAACCTCATCTCGTCTCTATGGCACTTAGCTTTGCATTTATCATTGGTTAACGAGCATTAAACCAAATGACAAGACGGTATGTTTCCATTAGGCAAGCCGTGCCTGTTGACTGTTCGAAATGAGGGAGAAAAGATTACCACTCCTTAGACAGAATTATTAGCTCTGCTCCCTTAGCACGATCCCTTATGAACTGTTGTCAGAGTAATGCTTTATGGAAGCTCAGCTTTTGATGGTATCTGGTCTATGTTCACCTTAGCTAGTAGCTTTACTCTATATCTTTCATCTCCTCCAGTGAAATAGTTTCACTGCTCGAGGAGACAAATATGGTTGTAATTGAAGAATTAATAATATTATTATACCTGTTGTCAGTTATCCTTTATTCCCGAGATGCAATATAGGCGAGCTCGTGATTATCGGTTACGTACGCTGATGATCCTGCACGAGAGCTGAAAAGGAAGATGTTGTATCAATGTGATTCATGGGCTATGGCAACTTACTTACATGCACCACATCCATCCAGTGGGTCTGTGCACTTATAGGTGTTTGTTCCTTTCTGCAACTGTTGACAAGAAATGTGGCTTGGTACACGCGTACCGGCAACTGTGCCAAATCGTCTTGTCTTACGTGTCTCCCACTATGCATCATACCAGAAAAACTGCGCAGCTCTGGTGGCCGCCTCGCGGTCCGCTTTCAATCGGTCGGACTGTCGCCTACCTACCAAATGATCTTCTCCCCGTGGATCCATGTCGGGGTTTCAAAGTTCTTTCGTATCCTCAATAGCTTTTATTGCTCCACATACGACAACAGTCGTTCTTACAACTGATTGCCACGTATATAACAGTTCATCATGAAACTTTATCTGTTCGTAACGGTCTCAAGCACTTATCCCATGACAAGGATCAAATGCGAAACTTCGTGTGTTTAACATATTGCGGCTGCACAGCTATGGGAATCTGCTCGTCATAGACTTATTTGCTAAATCTGCAGACTACCTTCTACGTATGATTGGATCTCATTCCCAAACAAATTCGCAGAATAACCGAAAGAACATATAAAAAGCGAAAGGGATCAAGGTCCACGAAACCTTCTTGCACGAATTCCTGTATTAGCAAGCAACCATGTCTTTCGGCCTCCTTCGCATCCTTGGCTATTTCCTAGTATTCTCAGCTGTGCTTGCTCAGTTGACAGGTAACGTTGGCCCGACCACGTCAACTGCTGACAAACAAGCAACGATGTGCAATGTGCTTGATTATGGTGGTGAAATCGGTTCGGATGTGAGTAGAACCCAAACTACTGTATGATCTAAAATGAGACTGTTGACAGGACATCGGGCCTGCAATTGGCAAAGCCTTTTCAGATTGTGTTCTCCAGAAGTCTGGTTCGACTCTTTACGTTCCCGAGGGGAACTACAGTATGCAAACCTGGCAAAACTTGAGTGGTGGGACAAAATGGGCATTTCAAATGGATGGCATTATTACTCGTACTAGTGAGTGTCCCTAGTTGGTAGGATATAGTACGGATCATTGCCATTTACTTGCTACCTTAGGCACAACCACGGGAAACATGATTGCTATCACGGATGCGGATGACTTTGAGTTCTTCTCTAGCAACAGTGCTGGTGCAATTCAAGGCCTTGGCTACCAATGCCGAAATGCAGGGTATGATGAACCAGCACTACTTGTTCTTAATTCTGATGCAACCTTTAGTCCTCGCCTCATCCGCATTGTCACCTCGACGAACTTCTCAGTGCACGACGTCATACTGGTTGACTGTGAGTTTACTTAATTGCCTAATATGAACGTGAATTTAGTCCTGTCGTTGCGATTTAGCGCCCGAATTTCACCTCGTTATCCAGGAAGGTTCTAATGGTGAAATTTACAACTTAGCGATTCGTGGAGCCGACATTGGTGGCAGCGACGGCGTAGATGTCTGGGGTAGGGCTAATTACTTGAGACATCGCCTTTCTAGTTAATACTGTGATCTATGGAAGGTACGAACCATTGGATTCACGACGTCGAGGTGACGAATCGCGATGAGTGTGTCACTGTGAAGTCACCATCGACAAATATCCTCGTTGAGCAGATCTGGTGCAACCAGTCTGGTGGAAGCGCTATTGGGTCTCTTGGTGCTGATACAACTATTGAGAACATCCTCTATCGGAACGTATACACGAACGGTGGTAATCAGATCTTCCTTATTAAGTCGTGGGGAGGCTCTGGCTACCTGAAGAATGTGTACCTACAGAACTTTCTCTCCCTTAATACCGCCTATGGACTTGACATTGACCAGTACTGGTCCGGGCAGTCGCAGGCAGACGGAGATGGCGTGCAGCTCAGTAACATCACGTTCGATGCAGGTAGTTTTCTTTGCTTTCCTGAAACGTGAAATTGATTTCGAGAGTTCATAGTAGTGCTCCGCACCGTAGCGTAATTTACGGATACGCCTGCAGCGTATACGCTTACGCACCGTATCGTAAGAGAAAATTTTAGCTGAAAATACGGGCGTATATTTACGCGCGTATGCGTATACCATGAGTAAAAAATTTCCGTATACGCCGTATACGAGTATACAGTATTACTAAGCATATTCTCTAATTAAATACTAAGTTTGAGTTTCTAAACCTCATTTACTTTACTTATTTATATACCAAATCATTTTAATACTATATAACAACCTTGTTTAACTTAAAAAGTACTAGTATGAG